CAAATTGAAATGCCGGATAAAAACACTCCAAACTCATTCCCTGATTGTAAACAAGTTTGAGAGAACGCGCCTGGACTTGCACATGCTTAATATTTCCCCGTGGGCTATTTACCTAAAACACACAGAAAAAAAATTCCTTGTTCAAAAGATTCACGCAACTCTCATAACATAATGTTCCCTCATTGAACTGTGAGGAGACACCTACCGTAGCATACGGAAAGCGAAGAGTGCTTTATACTGCAATAGATCATGTCAACAAAGCGCACTTCGTCGACAGAGAGAGAAGGTACGTCTGCTGACAATATCACAACGGTTTGAACGTAGTTTCAGTTAGAGTTCCTAATGTACATCAAACCACTTCCAAACTACCTGTCCTCTTTTTGCCGTGGCCAACAATGTTCACGGCGTACCATCGTACAACACTCTTTTATAATCTTATTTCATATCATAACCGCGCTTCAGGATGGACGTACAATCAAGCCAGCACAGGGAAGCATGGACAAGGAAAACAAAAGTGCAGACCCAACTCTTGACACGACCAAAACGAGCGCCTCTTCTCAATGAAATCACTAGGGGAATGGAACATTGAAGGATGGTCAGGGATATAGGAGGCACGAGCGTTTTGTGAAGATTGAAAAGAAAGATCCCATAAAGGCAAACATTATTAGAGACGTCATACATCGTTTTGATGGAAGACCAAGAATTTGTTCATTTTTAAGGAAGTTTCTCTATAAAAATTCAGGGATTGGTATCCTTTAAGTGACAGCTTGCAATACGATCGGCCGTCGATTAATGAACTGATTTCCTACGGAATCGATATCGCAGACATAGACAAGGGTTTCTTCACTTTGACTTCGTTGAATGTCATGTTCATTAGACAAAAGGGAGATGCAAGGCAAGTTTATCGATAATTAGGCTGTTTTACTTTGTGATCAATAAATTTCACAAATTTTCTTCAAATTCATGACGTTCATAAAAGTTCATTCAGAGGTGGAAAGAAATGTTATTCTCGACCTCAGTTCCACTCTGTACGTAAAATTCGATTTCAGTTAGTCTTCAAAGATGAATCTCTTTCCAGCAAAACCCAATAAAATTAATTCAGCAAAACTCAATCAACATGACAACCTACTTGATTAATGAGAGCCCTGATTAGAGAAGCGATAGATTTTTAACTGTCTGTGACGGATAGAGTGTTACCGAGCACAATCCATATTAACCGCAAAATTTATACTGTACAAGTTAATCCTGGTAGTGATTGGAATATAATTTCTCCCGACAATTTCAACATCTTATCAGACAACCTGGTAATGAAAATGACTAACAAAATCAACTTGGTATTATGGTTTTGATATAAGACACCACATTCTCAGCACTAACAGTTAGTTGGAATGAATATTTTTAAGATCATAGCAATGAAGGAATTCAAAACAGCTAAACTGCTCGTAAAAACTACAAACGTTCAACGTGCATTCGGGCCGCGCTAAACGCGTTTGTTTACAAATCCTATTATCACTGTCATAGCATTACATGACATCAATTGCTTCAGCATGACCACAAAAACTAAGGTAAGGGATACTGTAGATGCAATGGGTTCAACTCATTTCTCACTTTCTCTTTATCTAATCCAGAGGTGGTTTTCAAAAACTTCAATCAAATCGACTGCCACCTCAAAACTTGCTTCACAACCCGAAACATGGCTGCTCTGACTGCATTCATCTTTGACTGACAGAGTATAACCTATTGTTAATTACGACTGAGCCAATCACGTGTGAGTTTGATCCATGAAATTGTGCGAGATGATGCAACCAGATAGGTTTATCAGGAGAAAGCAAACCTAATTTCAACACATTTTTCCTCCAGTTCAGCTGAGGTAGGTTTATTTCCCATTTTGCACTACTTCGGCGGTATTTTTCCCGAGTCTTGCAGTACTTTGAGAAAATTCACCGCACATGTGACGAAGAAGACTCTTCTGATGGCACATTTCACGAATTGTGACAAGAGTACGAGATATCGCTTTTTCAGCTCCCCTAAACCGTTCCTAGAAATAGATCCAGGCACTTTCTTCGGTTTTGAAAGTATCGCACGTAACGATTCTGCGATTACCACCATTATGTCGCCTTGAAGAGTGCCCACACAGTTTCGACTGTAGCCAACTCGGTATGGGTTAAGCACGTCGCCTCCCTCCGGGCCTAACAGATGATATCAAATCTAATCCACGAATTTGGAATCATGCCGCAATCATTCATGATCAGCAGAATGTATCCTGTTGTTGGAGGTCTTGTTTTACCACAAATCGTTCCAAAGTAAAACTTGGAGAGTCAAAGTATCACTGAAACGTTGTAAACGCGAACATTATCGAATTTGCATAAACTAACAGCACTATCAACTCTTTTTTAGTTACACTCCAGATTTTTCGGAGGAGAAAGAACAATGGCCAATTCTGACAGGAACGCAAACGTAAGTACCATGTGTATGCATTTCAAGCTCTCTAACCGTCGTGCTGCTATAGAGCACGATGATTATTAGTTTAACGCTGACCATGATTCTAAGCATCTTCCACCCTTACCCAATATCGATACTTCAGAGCCATTTCAATAAAAAGTTTGTTTGGCATTCCAAGAAAGGTAACATTTTAAGATTCAAGCACATTAACGTTCATGAACGTTTAAACACAGTGAATGTAGTTTCGTGAAATCTCACCGTTTACAATGAAACATACTAGCCGCATGCAATTTATGCAGCCGGGTGTGTAAATGTTTTTGTACAAGGTCCAAAATTTCGGAGGATTTTGTTTAAGCTCAAAAGTTTTATTCACCATTACTTTTTCTCGATTTCGTCTTCTCTTACATTGTGATGACGTGGCTTTTCGAAAAAACCGTTCAATCTCTCATGTCGAGAAATTCAAAACCTATCATCGGCTGTTGAGGACAAAATGAAAGTAAGACCTAACTAAAGAACTCCAAGATCCTTCTCCCATTCGGATATTGATTATGTACTGGGTCAAAGAGGATATGACAGAGTTACTCCTTTAACCTTAAGTGGCTATCAGCAATTTAAAGAAGGGTATGTCATACAGCTGTAAGCACTAAATGCAGTAACGATCAGTGTGTATCGAGAACACCATGCTAATGACAGCGATAAGTTGCAGTTGAAGGTAAAATAAATTTTCCAATGAATTTCACATATTTCAAGAAAACTCTGTCTTCTATTCCCCTCGTTGCTGTGCATTGATGAACAGTGCATCTGTTTGTTTCAGGGGCAGGACAGGTTTATGAGCACAAACTGGTAAGTTGAACAACTCTTGGGTTCAATTTACACATTCCAGAAGAAAAACTATATCAACTTATAATCCCCTTTATGTTCCCTTGCAAGAAATCAATTATATTTGCATTTTAAACTGTACCTTTTGAATTTTTTCCAGATCTAGTATTTATAATCATGATAGCCATGGTTGTATACACAATGTATATGTATTTATAATCTTATACATGAAAAAAATGAGTACATAAGTGCAGTCTAGTGCACCCCAGTTTGTCCTCTAAACAACACATGTTTACCTAGCTTGCAAAAATGATCCATCTCTTACCACTAACACATGACATGAAAATGTCTATGTTCTTCCACTATCTATCATGAAAATATTTATATTGATTTTCATACATGCATGCATGGAATATCACACTTGGGACAAGACAGTCTATTTTAACCAAGTTAACTGTAAACAAACTAAGGCATGAACTTACCTCTGTCCTGCTTAATTCCTTTTCAGGGATGATCTGATGGCCACATTTTCTCAATTTCTGATATTGGACCTGGAGGTACGAAGAGTCTTTTAAAAATGTAACTTCCCTAATAACTGCCAGCTTATACATGTAATTTAAGTCCTCATCTGACTAAATTATGAATCTTTCCCCTCCTTATCCAAACTTTTCTACATGTACTTGCCCTCACTACAAATAGGAATCATAATTTCTCCATCAGCTTCATGAACCAGGACACATGTGTAATATGCATAAATTATTGTCAACAAGATACATAATTCACTCCACTTGGGAAGGGATACAAGAAAATCAGTCTTCATACCAGGGGGGGAAGCACGTTAGAGTAATAAAATTGATGACATAAGGGCCCTATAATAAGATATTACATGAGTATGCAAGTTAGATATCAAGATAAAAAATTTAATAAAGATAATAGCTGGGATGTCAAAGTTAAAGCTAACTGTAAATATATTATGCATGAGTGAAGATTATACTTTTTGATAATATCTACATAATATATTACAAGAGTTCAAGTTAAAAAGTAAATTGGCTATAATGAAGTAAATTATATCATGATTTGATTTTCCTTTTCTTTTATCAAATGAACCTTTAACCCCCTTTAACTCCCAAGGTCAGATTGCTAATTCTCCTCTCCAGCTGCTACAAATTTCTGTGTAAATTTTGTTATGAGATTGTGGTGTTTAATCAAGATAGCTTCTTCTAACTGTTATTGATTTCTGGGAACTAAAGGGTTAAGTGTTCTTTTCTAGCTGCAGCAGATAACATGTCTTCTT